TCCGCCAGAAATACATGGGCGCAGCACAGAAGGTGGTGGCTGTGATGAGCGGATTTGAAGGTGAGGGTGTCACCAGTGACCCATAGCAGTCAGGACAGTGACAGCCCCACCCAGGAAGCAGGGTATCACCTGGAACCAGTAATGTGGGGAGAGCAGGCCAGGGGCAAAGACCCTGAGGACCAAGGGACCCACGTGGCCCCTCTGCCTTGCGGTCTCTCCTGTGTTTACCGGCCACATTCCCTGCAGGGGCTCCTGTGAAGGAGAGGGTGGCCCCCCTACAGTGCCCTTCCTTTGTATCCACCTAGCAGAGCGGGGAGGGTGTGAGTGGGTCTGGAAGTGAGACGGAGCCAGCTTCCTACAGGGTATGGGCTCCTTCACTACGAACAAAACACGGGGTGTACCCACTACGAAATGCCGGCTGTGTGATTCCAGTAACCATGCATATAAAGTATTTGCGTTTAAAGTGGATATTGCAAAATAAAGTGGTTAAAAGCCAGGCATGGGTCACCATGGGTTTCAGCTACTTGGGAAGCTGAGGCAGAAGGCTCATGTAAGTCCAGAAGTTCAAGGCCAGCCTGGGTAACATAGTGAGTCCCATCTCAAAAACAAATACAAAGATTTATGATGCAAGTCATGATAATGTAATCAACTTTTACTTTTCTTATCACAACATTAAACACAAATATAAATGTCACAGCAATGAGAGAAGGAGAGAGAAGTGGGACAAGGAGAGGTGAGGACAAAGCACTTTCCTGCTCCTTGAGAAAGGAGGCTCCCAGTCATGCAGGGCCCAGCCCTGGCTTAGGCCGCTGCAGCCATCATTGTTCTGAGGTCCCTAACACCAGGAGTTCGAGTTGAGAAAAGAGTCCTTGATGGCTCACTCCCTGCTGAGTGCTGTCTGCTTTGTAAAAGCTTCTTCTCAGTGGGGTGAGCAGGATACAGCTGGAGACTGTCTCCCTTAGGAGAGCAGGAGAGGACCCTGGGCTCCCTCCCTGTGCCCTGGGATTGGAGGTCTGGTGTGGAGGTGGGGGAGGACCAGCCTCCTGTGGCCTTCACCCAGCCCTGGGCCCAGGAGAGCTCTGCTCAGCCCACAGGGACAACACGCTGGACGTGGTGGCATGAGGCTCAGGAACAGCACTTGTGTCACGTGTGCGGTACAGGTGGCTGAGCGTTTGGCGTGGCCACCAACACCTTCTGTGTGTGATCAGCAGCAGCTGGCCACGTACCACAGCCCAGACCTACGCCACAGCCCAGCTGCAGACAGAGTGCGTGTCCGTGTGGCTCCAGGAGCACAGATGCATCGGGGAGTCGACACACACAGCCTCAAGGTGGGAAAGCCTCACAGAGCCCACAAGGCCAACGGGTCTGCAAGGTGGACCTGCCCGGCGCCTTGCAGCGGTGAGCAACCTGCGTGGCGGGCGAGCAGCTGCCTTCCGCAGCAGGTGGGCGCTGTCCACTGCTGAGCGTGTTTCCTGGGACACACAGAGGTGGCAGAAAATGGGCTGTGGAGGATCCCAGTCTGAGCCCCTAGTCAGCGGGGTCTGGAGATTCGCTGCGAGCTGCTGTCCTGAATTCCTGGACTGATTCGGGTCCTTGCTGCTTCCCTGGGCTGCTGTCTGTGCGGTCAGCCTAAAATAGTCCTCTTTGCCTGCCAGCGTTTGTGCTGCACCTGCGTTGGGTGCCAGGGTCCAGTGACATCCAGGACAGAGTCCCGCTCCAAGGCACCAGTCCTGGTGATTCTGTATCCACTCTGCAAGATCTGGGAGACGCCAGCGTCTCAGAGGCTGTGTCTCTCCAGGGGTCCCTTGGCAGGCATAGGTGAGTCGCTTCCACCCTCGTTCCTGGTGAGCAGCCCTTTGCACGCACACGTGGCTTGCTGTTCATTCACACTCCAGGGTGAGTCTGCTGACCCTGAGGAATCCCCTGCTCTGCCCACCATGGTGTCCCCAGTCAGCTTGTCAGTCTTCAGCTGTCCTGTGTGTGACGCCAGTGCCTCAGGCTCTCTTCCGCTCAGGCTTGTGTTTTTAGATATACTTTCAGCCAAAAGGTGGCAGTGCAGGAAAGTAAGTGAACCCAAGGACTCCGCAGGGGAGCGCCTGTCCTCCTAGTTACAGGGCAGGGAAGGCAGGAACTGAGAGCTGCCCCCTCAGCCTCCCCCTCATGCACACCTGACCTCATGTACACGCGGCTTGTACGCACGGGAAGCCCCTTCGGAAGCCTATTTAATGAAAACCGCCCACCCATTCTTCATAAATACTAACTTTACTGGGACTGTTCACGAGGTCTGCATGGCACCATGATTACAGCCCGTCCGAAGCAAGTACTTACTGATGGACGAATTTCTGCTAGGACCAGGGGAGTTTCTTGCCTGTGTGGTGACAGGTAAAGAAAAACCTTAGAATAGTCTTTGTTTAGTCACTTGCTCTGAATGATTTTATTTTTCTACTAAATTGGCCCCAAATTCTAGTCTCCTCCTGTGAAACCCTCTCCTTCCTGAGGGAAATTGTGCTAAAGCCAGCAGCCTCTGCAAAGGCTTCGAGAGCAGGTGCAGCGCAGCCAGCCAACGCCCACCCCAAGATAAACATCTGCTCCTGATGTCGGGTGTAAATAATGAATGGTGGCTTCCATGTTTGAGTGTCACCTGGGTGCTGCCGGTGCCCACGGCAAGTCACCGACTTCCACAGAACGCTCTCCCCACAAACCCAAGGTGTGTTCATCTCACAAAAATAAAAAATTGCATGTTCCTTTATTTCTTTTTCCTGCTGTTATGGGTGCTGTGTGTGTGTGTGTGTGTGTGTGTGTGTGCGCGCGCGCGTGTGCGCGCCCCACACATTAAGCAAGCATGTAAATGGGATGGTACTGCCATTTGGAAACAGTGTTTTGCTTTGTAGTCTGCTTTACAGAGAAACTGTGTCTATGCCTCAAAGCCTGCAATCCAGATGGAAGGGTAAGGCACACCGGCCAGCTGATTTTACAAAGTTCTTGAACCACAGTCACACAAGCAGCCACTGCCTTCAGATTCAGGACCCTCAGGCAATTCTGACTGTAGAGAAAGACACACTGACATCTTATGGAGCTCCTCAGGATAGCCGCTTGATGCCCCCAGGATCTACGATCTGCCAGTCACCCTTCTGTTACAGGCTGTGCCATCCCCCAGAACGCCGGGGACAGGTGTGCAAGCCCAGACTGAGGGCTGCAACAGTGACCAAAGCCGGGTGGGCTGGGGACACCCTAAATGCGCCTTCTGCACACCAGATAGCAGCCTGTGTGGCCAGGAAGGCTGAGGCGAAACGGTGACTGGGAAAATGGTGCCCAGGTCAGGGGCGGAGGGCCTGCTCCAGGAGGGCGAACATGGTCTGGAATGCCAGATTTGAACTGTTTTCCAAGTCCTGGCTCAGCGAGGGGCGTGGCCTCCACACTGGCTGCATATTTGAGGATCATCTGAGAGCTTTAGAAAATGTGCAGATGTGGGCAGGGGGCCATGCCAGGCCAGTTGGGCCAGGATTTCTGGAAGTGTGGGACGGCCAGGGTGGCCAGGACTGAGACTCTGTGTTGGACACTGTACCAACGGAGCTTCCCTGCCAGGCAGATGTCTGAAGGCTCCAAATGGGACCAGCTGTGCACAAACTGAACAGCAAAGTTGGCACCCATGTGGATAGCACGCAAGGTGCGGTTGGTGGTGTCACTGTCTGCTGGGCGTGTCTCCTTACTGCACGTCCAAGATGTTGATATCAATGTAATCTAGATGGCTGTTGATAGGGGAGGCCCAGCAAGAGCGCACACCATAGGCTTAGTGAGCTGCTGCTTCCTGAAGCTCCAGGCTCTGCGCCCCGCTGCCTCCGTCTCTCCACGTTACCTGGCTTAGGTGCTTTCCTAGAGGGAGGCTGGCCGCACATAGATGATCTAAGTTTCAAGGAGTCTTCTTCCTAAGATGTTAACTGGAGTCTTCAGGAAAAAAAAAAAAAAAAACCCAAAAAACAAAAAAGAAAAACAAGCCCACAAACCAAAACAAAGTGAAAAACAGCGGGTCCTGTGCAACTTTCGCTGCTGTTCTTGGAGAATCTGTGAAGGCACGCAAGCTCAAGCACCAAGCTTACTGTATCTTGAAAAGCAACGTCTGGAAAGAGTAGGCCACGTGGCTAATCAAGAGGCTCTGGCCTGGGAACCAAGGGCTGCAGTTTTACTGCTGGTTCTCCATCTGCCCCACTACAAAGCCCAGAGCAGAGGAGGTGGGAAGGGTCCCCTCTGCAGATCCTGAGCCTGTCCACCTCATGGCCCACAAAGAGCCCACCCTGCTCCAACGCCAGGTTCCTGAAGCCCTGAAGCCAGGGGCCCAGTCACACTGGACACCCCCGGTTAAAAACAAACTTCTCTAGACCACATCTATTGTGTGTGTGTGGGGAGGGGCTATGAGAACATTCTCAGTACCAACGTTCTTTTTCCAGAGCCACAGTAGGAAACAAACCCTGGGGCAAAAGAAGAATCTCTGAAATGGGCAAGGTGGGCGCGCACCTGCGCCTCTGTGCGAGTCTATAAAGACCTGGAATCACCCCGTGCCCCCAGAGTTGGAACCTTTCACCGGATTCAGTACAAAGGATCTGGGTGACTTCCTGCCCGTTCCGCTTGATCAAGGCCTGCGTGCACTTAGCAGGAGGCCGAGCCCCAGGAAATAGTTGTAGCCCGGTTACTCTTAGGGCAGCCTGGCCATACCCGAATTCTCACTCCTGGGCTTGGGCGCGCTCCCGGGCGGCCCTTCCCGCACACGATGCCAGGACGAGGGCGCAGAGCCTCCGGAAGGCGCAGGGCTGCAGGGCGCAGCCCACCTGGCCGCCTCACTGCGCGCCCTCGCGCCTGTGCCGTGCAGTGCACGCGCCGCCCAGCCTGGGGTGGGGGCGGGCTCGGCCCTCGGTGAAGCCACCACCCCTCGCCCCAGACACGCCCGTCCCAGCGCGCGCTGAAAGTTCCCCGAGGTGGAGAAGCGCGCGGTCCGAGCCCGCGGTGCGCAGCGGGCGCTCTCGGAGTGCAGAGCGCTTTCTCGGCGCTCCGGACCCCAGGCCGGGCCGGGGAGCGGACATCCGAGCACCCGCAGAGCGAGTCCGTCCCCGCCACGCCCACGCCGCGCCGCGCCCGCTGTCGCTGGAGGGCGGGGCTGTGACGGCCCAGGACTGCGCTCGCGCCCCGCGGGTCCGGGATGCTCGGCGCCCAGCGGCCGGGAGCCGGGGCGCGCGCGGGCTGAGCCGGGGCGGCGAGCGAGGCGCGAGGCGGAGACCCGGCGTCGGGGAGTGCGGCTGGGGGGCCGGGTCCCGAAGACCCCGAGCCACCCGGGAGCCCGGCGAGTGTCCGCCCCACCGGGATCCGCGCCACCCGAACGTGCAGGATCGCCGGGCCCGCGGCTCCCTGGGCCGGGGGCGATGCCCGGGCGGCTGCGGACGGGCGGCGGCAGGAGGCCCTGGGCGGGCGCGGGCCTGGAGCCCCGGTTCTAGGGACCCGAGGCTCCTCTGCGACGGGACTCGGCCTCGCCGCCGCCTTCGCGATGGCCTCGGAGGTGGTGTGCGGGCTCGTCTTCAGGCTGCTGCTGCCCATCTGCCTGGCAGTCGGTGAGTCCGGGACGCTTGTCTGGGTTTCCGGGGTGGCGTGGGGCTTCTGGGTGCGGGCTTCCTAGTGACCTCGATGTGCAGTGCCCTTACGCGGAGCCCAGGGTCCCTGCCAAGCTAGGCTTCCCCCCACCCCGGGCGCACGGGGCTTCTGCCAGAAACCGGGAGGTGTGCGCTGGAGGGTTTGGGTCCAACTTACTCGCGGATTTTCTCCAGTAGAGTGCTGACCACTGGAGGGACAGTAAAGATCGTGGTGGAGACCCTGCCACTCACCACTTGGGGCCGCTGGGTGGCACCTGGCAACGAGTGGCACATCTCTCACTGTGTCCCAGCAGCTGGGTTCGGGGCCCTGAGGGGCCGGGTGCTGGGATGCGGTGCCTGGAGTTTCGCACTTTCTTCACCTCCGCGAAAGCCCTGCTAGAAGCAGAGCTGAGCTGGCTGCCTGGCCTGCGCTCTCCTCCCCATAGTTAAAGGTTGAAAAGGCAGGGATGGGACTTCGCAGGCGGCGAGGCAGGGAGGCCGCCCGTGGCCACTATTTCTGTGGGTTTGGCTGGGTGTCAGGGATGGGTACCTGGGGTGCGAGAATTCTGGGCTTCTCTTCTAACCATGTGCGGTGCTTTGAATCTGCTTCAAGGACGCACAGAGCTGTCACCACCCGCGCAGGCAAGCACAGTCTTCCCAGAATGTACCCCCACCCAGGCCACCTCTCCTCATCAGGGCAGAGGCGAGGACGAGGTCACGCCCGAGCTGTGCCTTGCATTCATGAGTTCTGTAGTCGCTGGCTTGCTGGCTCCTGCCCTTAGATCAGGGTGCCCAGCCCAGGGCGACTGTGGTCCCTGTCTCTGGGTCCTTGTCCTCAGTGACTGCCTGGTTGGGGTGTAGGAGAGCACTCGTGTGGGCAGTTTGGAGAGCCTTGGCCAGCTGTGCTTATTTTGAAGTGCGTGGCGGTGGGGGACGAGCTTGGTGCTTTCCTCGTCCGTCCCTGTATTCTCTGCACAGGAAGCTTCAGCCCAGTTTGTAGCACTTTCAGCGAGGGGTCTGCTGTGTTCCTGGCAGGGAGCGGCCTTGGGGCTGGGGTTCCTCGCCCTGTGGGTCTGTACTCCCACCCCACCCTTTCCTTTCCCTCCCCCTCCTCTGCACAGGGCTTGGCAGTGGCTTTTGGAGGAGTTGGGCAGGGTCACCTGTGGCCAGCTCACCTCCTCTCTGGTGAGCAAAGCGAGCCCCCTGCTTGCTGCTTTTGGGGTGCGTGTCCAGGCTGACTTGTGAGGAAGGTTGCGCTGCCCTCCAGAGGGGGGCCCCAGCGGCTTCCAGGCTAGAGTCCCCCGCCACGCAGTCTGCTCCCTCCTGCCGCTGTTGTGGTGGCCTTGGCCTGCCTGCAGCTTTCACAGTCTGAGGCTCGAGCCCAGCGTGGGCCAGGCTTGGTTGCCTGCACGAGCTGGGCCTCCAGGGCCCAGAGCAGTAGAGCTGCGTCCTGCCCCCAGCTGTCTTGGGTCAGGGGGCCCTGGGGTGCCCTCTCTCCCCTGCACTTCTGGGAACACTTCGAGGCTGACATGACTGTGGAGGAATGTGTGAGGGCTGTGAGTGTGTCCGTATGTGTGTGTGTGTGAGTATGCGAGGTGAGGCTCTGAGTGTGAGAGATGCAGTGTGTCTGTGTTATAGATGTGTGTGTATGAGTGTCTGAGTGCCGTGAATATTTGTATAGGTGTGTGCAGGTGAGTGTATGTAAAATTCTACAAGTGTGAGTATGTGAGTGTGTGTGTGTGAGAGAGAACTGTGAGTGGGCACAGTCTGTGTGAGTGTGTTTGTGTGTCGGGGCTCCTGTGCTGTCTGGCTCTGGTTGTCCCCCACAGTACTTGATTTTCGAGGTAGCTGTGTGGAAAAGGCCTGGCCTCCACCCCCACCAGGGCACAGACGGCGTGGGGCTGTAGCTGAGGCTGCTGGGAGGTCGAGGGGACTCGGGCTGGAGGTCGGGTGGGAGCACTGGGTCCCGGGCTGTGACAGTGGGGACTGTGCCCGGCCTCCCTGGCATTTCCTCGCCGTGTTTCCTGGCTGCTGTGGGTGCAGCTTCCCTCCACCACACCCTGCTACCATGACACTGTTAGACCACGGGCTGAGCCCCCAAACCATGAGCTGAAACAAGCCTCTACTTTGTCAGGCGCCAGCGACAGGAGGCTGATACACTGTCATGAGAGTGCATGCTGGTGTGTGTTGGGAGGGGGTGCACTCACCCCCCCCCCCCGCGTCCCCCTGGCAGGCCTCCAGCACAGCCTGGGCGCGGGGCTCCCTGTACAGGAGGCTGGAAGAGAGCTCCAGGAGGCCCTGCCCACCGCCCTCACATGCTGCTGCTCGGAGCTCGAGCGGTGCCTTCTGATCCCCATACTGGAGCTGGCGAGAAGAGGCCACCTCTCTGCCTCCCACGGGGTGGCCGTTTTCAAGGTTACTGGAGGGTTGTGGATCTGCCTGCCCCAGGCCGTTGCTATATCGAGCCTTCAGGTTTCCCTCACATCCTGGGCACGGGGAGCGCAGCGAGCTGCCTGCCATTAGAATCGATTTCACATTTTTGCCGTCTATTTTTACATTTGGGCAGGGCAGCTTCAAAGCCAAGCCTCTGTGGAAGCTGCATCTCTTTCCTCTAGGGCTCCTTCTCTCAGGAGGAGAGGAGGGTGTGACGAGTCTGCAGAGCTGCCCCAGCCCTTGCACCTGCTGACGGGTGTGAACACCAGCCACCCTGGTGATGGAGTTGAGGACGGCGTGGTCCACTTTTTCCTCGAGAAATGTAAAGTGAAGCGATGAGCGAGGGCAGGCTCCTCTTCTTAGTGCTATGAGATTCTCGAGTGTTTGTCCCAGGAAAAGCTCAGCCCCGCAGCAGCCGTGCTGTTCACCATCTGCTGACAGATGCCCACATCCACAGTGCCGGGGGCTTGAAGCGTCTTGAAAATTGCCTGTGACTGTGACAGCCGTCCGTTGTATGCATGACGTATGACCAAAGGGCAAAAGAGTGGGGGCGGGGCGAGGTGGGTGGTTACAGGTACGCCTTGTTCTTCTTAAAACAAAAACAGTAGAGGGCTGGTGAGATGGCTCAGTGGTCTAAAGCACCTACCTAGAACAAGCTTAGCAGAGCACAGGGACCGCGGTTCAGTCCCCCAGCACCACATGCCAGCCCGCCCCGCCCCCTGGTGGGCTGAGCTGGTCACACACACACACACACACATACACACACACAATAAATAAATAAAATTAAAAAAAAATAGTAGAGCCAATTACACATTTGTAGGTAAAAAGAATTTTTAAAATTTATTTTATTTTATTTTAGCCCACCCTGGGGAGGGGCCGGCGCAGCATGTGGTGCTGGGGATAGAACCAAGGCCCTGCACACTTGCCTAAGCTTGCCCAAAAAGGCGATTTAGACCATGAGCTATCTCACCTGCCCAAGGGAATATTTTAAAATATTTAAGTTCTTAGACTGGGCGTGGTGGTACAGGCCTGTAACTCCCAAGGCCAGTGCTTGGGAGGCTGAAAACAGGAGGGTCATTATGAATCAGATCTGTGTAGTGAGACCCTGTGGACCCTGGACTAAATGCATAAAAAAATTAAGTTCTTTAAAGTATTTGGTGAAGATGAGTGAAGACATTTGTCACTGGAGCGGTGGCCACTGGATCCAGCACCCAGCCTGTCTGCCAGCGCTGTGAACCTGCGCGTTCATCACACTTAGGGGGCTGCTCCAAGGAGCTCACGGGTAGCAGTCGCCCAGCCCTGCTGCTCCAGGTGCAGACGCTGGCGCCTCCTTTTGGGTGTGTCTGAATGGCAGTCTGCCCCACACACCTTGTGTTTGCTGCCAGCAGGTGTCAGGTGCTGCAGGGCTTTGGTGACAACAGCCAGGGGCTGGGGATGGCATCCTGAGGCCACCGGCCTGGCAGGTGGTCATGTGGACAGGAGAGACTGGCAAGAAGAAGTGAGGCTCAGAGGGGAAGCTGGGTGCTACCCAGAGCCAGTCCCATGTAGTCAGTGTGCAGCAGGGGATTTGGATTATCAGGATTTTCTCCCCTATTTTTCTTAATATTTTGGGTCTGTCTAGTGGAGTATTTCCCATTGGCCAGTATATCTCCCTGGAGTACACTGTTGCCTCACCTTGCTTTTTTTTCTTTCTGTGTATTTAGTGCAGGGTCTACAGGCTCTCACTACACAGATTGGACTTGTAGTGATCCTCCTGTTTTCAGCTTCCCAAGCACTGGGATTACAGGGGTGCACTACCACACCCAGTCTCAATTGCTGGCTCAGCACACCCCAGGGGTGAGGCTGGCACGGCACGCTGGGGATCGAACCACGGTCCCTGCATCTGCCTAAGCAGGCGCTTTAGTCTGCTGAGCTATCTGGCCTGCCTTGCTCCTCGCCTTTCTGATCCTACCCCACCTTAGTCTCATAATCTTCATTCAGTCTGAGTTGTTTTTTTCACTAGGGACTCTCCTTTTGGACCCTTGTGTGACCAGCAGCCACCTGTCTGAAGTCACCTAGTTCTGCTGCTGCACCACCAGAGCTTTCTGAGGAGCGTTCAGGGGAACTTAGGGTGGCGGCCCTAAGTTCTCAGTTCTCCCAGAGCAACTTCCGACCAGGGCAGGTAGTATGCTCTCACAGATTCTGGGAGATGTGCTGGTTTAAATAGCTGTTTTGAAGACAGGGACCCAGGCCAGCACAGTAGCCATTCTGTTGGCTGGAGGCGAGACGCAAGGCCACACCAGGAGGAGATGCCTCAACACTGTCTGGCCACAAGCACAGAGGTCTGTTATAGCTCCCAGGGTCTGTGGGGCCCTCCAGGTGAGAGCGGAGGGGCCTGCACCCCTGCCAGCTGTCTGTGGAGGCACCACCCACCTGGGGCCAAGAGCTGCTGGTGAGAGCAGGTGAGAGCGGAGGGGCCCGAGCCCCTGCCAGCTGTCTGTGGAGGCACCACCCACCTGGGGCCAAGAGCTGCTGAGAGGCCCAGAGCCCCTTAAACAGGAAGGAAGGGT